GAAAGCAGAATTCTTGGAAACGATCTCTTCCAACAGGAACTTTTATTAAGAGAAATTGATAGCAGGCATGATAGACAGGATCTGAGGTATTCCCTCACAAATCGATGTTTTAAAGTGTCCCTAAGCAACCCCCACCCCGCAGTTCTTCCCAGCGATTCAGACCGCAGATTTCTAGGTGTTAAATCCAGGAAAGATAACATCAATCCGGCTCCGTTGTACACGATCATTCAACAGCTCCTCACCCCTTATTTTGATGATGGATAAATAAACCAGATCCCGGGGCTGTATCTTTTCAACCCCCTCCCCCTTTTCTAGCTGCCCGGTAAGGAGAAGTTCAGAGGGGCATAGGATAAGAGGCAAATGGTTACATTGCAATGGTTAGCAGAGGTGAATAAACAAAAGATTACTTTGTAGTGATTAGAGGAAGTGAAAGTAGTAAAAAACCCCTGTATATCCCCCCTCCCCCTTGGGAGTATGGCAGGACCCAGCAAAGGGTAAGAATTGGTTTTAGATCAGAGGAGATAGATAGAAAGGAAATATAACTGGATCCTGACAACCATCTTGTACAACTTTTTGTGCTCTATTAATAATAAACACATTCTCATGAGCGATCTCCATCTAGATAATTTGGAGCAAAGTTGACCAAAAATATTGCGGCTCAAAAAAAAGTTTAAAGTTTCTCTTTTTATATCTCTGGAAGGAAAGGTATGATAAACGTGAAACTTTGCATGTAATACCTTAGCAACACAAGGTTTTCAAATATAAAATTTCATTCTCCTACTGCTTTCCAATAGTTTACAAATTGAGTGTAAAGTTGATGTTTTTTGTAAAAACACCAAAATAGGGTATTTTCAGTCTGCTTTTACAAAAAAGGACCTTCTGGAAACTCTGTTAAATCATTCTCATTAGAAAGAGCATGTTTCAAACCCCTAAAAAAGTAGGGCTGGTTATTCATCGCTGACGTATTAAAGCCCTAAAAATAGGGACAACGTTGAGGACATTGCTTTGTCACATGTATTCTATTATTTTTTGTCTTGTTTGTTTTATATAGATATCATTACTACTATTGTATTGTGTTGGTCACTACCAGTTCAGGCACTTGAACCAGCAACCCCATTGCCATAGGGGGCACGCCCAATAGCCGTGCAACACCAGCCACAGGTGGGTTTCTTGGTTCAGGATCCCAAGCCTGTAGTTTGGTTTCTTCCTCGAGGTTCCAAAGCCTTGTGTGGCTGCAACCCATTTAACAAATAAAATCACATAGTTAAACATGGGCTGTTGAAAGTCGATCTAGCCATGTCCAATGATTTAACAAAAGTAGCGAAAACAAATGTGAAGCAGGTCAAAAGATTTGTTCCAAGTGTAAAGCCAAATATGTTTCCATAGTCCAAAGCATGGCAGACTCTTCGTCATTGGATAATTACGATATGGACATTTCAGACACTGTTAATCGAAGTTTGACTGATTTAGGGACTTCTCCATTAAAAATTTGTAAATTTAGCAGTAGGGATAAAAACTGGCTACATCATCAGTGCTAATAAGGAGTGCTGTTTGCTGTTGGTTTATATTCTGATGTCTTGCCTGTCTCTGTGGGTGGGGGTGATCTTAGGGATTCTTTGGTTGGGCTGTTTACTAATGGCTCTGTAGCAGTTTCTTGATTGGGTTATTGCTTACTTGATTGTTGGTCTGAAGGTGACCTTGGGGTTAATCTATGCTGATCTGAGTGCTGATTACTAGTGGAGAGGTGCTGGAGTCTTTTTCTCTTTTGGGCCGGTTGATTGTCTCTTTTGCATAATCTATAGATGGGCAAAGGAATAATATCCCACCTTTCACACAGGAAATTAAAGTTTATGATAGAAATGGAAAGTCTTAGGAAGTGTCATTTTAAGTTTCTAATTAACTTTGTAAGCCAATTTTGCCCTCCTTCCATTCTGAAACAATTCTGGAATAATTCCAAAATCCTGTGGCTGTGCACTAGCAGGAGTTCGATCCTGAATGGCTCAAGGTTGACTCAGCCTTCCAGGTCAGTAAAATGAGGACCCAGATTGTTGGGGGTAATATGCTGTCTCGGTAAACTGCTGTGAAGCAACAGGTTTCCCAACCTTTCTGGCTTTGCAGACCGGTGGGACAGGGGAGGAAAGGGGATGGTTCTGTGTGAGTGGCATGTGTGTGCATGCACACAGCTCCGTTTTCACAAATGAAACTACAGGCAAGGGCGTACTCGCCAACCACTGCTCATGCAAATGGAACTGCACACTCACCCACCACTTCCATGGCCCAGTTCCAAACATGCCGTGGCCCAGGGATTGGGGACACCTGATGTAAAGCACTATGAAGTGGTATATAAATCTAAGTGCTATTGCTACTGTTACCCTTTATTATCTGTTATATGCTCCTGGCTACTTTCCTTCGTGACCAGAGGCAAGCTCGCCTGACCAATAACCAGCCAAGACACAGTGAAGGCCTTTTGTTTCGTTTATTGCAATAAGCGGGGAGAGAAGCTATCAAAGCTTGGTTCTCTCCAAAGTTCCAACCAAAAATATTCCCTTCTTTATACAATCCTTTCCCGGCCGCCACATCCCTCCTCTTTCCCCATTGGCTGAGGGTACTATGAGGTTACACTCTTTCCGTCCGTTTCTTACACATTTCCTGCTAACGTATTAAATCATGTTCACATATACAATAATAAGAAAAAATAGACATTTAAATAGTTATTTTGAGCTCTGTGGATATTTATGTCCCCCTTTTAGAACAATAGGTTCTTTCCTGTTTTTCAGTTTAGTTAAGTTTTCCTGGCTAGCCATTTCCTCTTACAGACGTTTTTCCTGTTTTCCCACTCTAAGACCCAGCTAATTTTTGCCTACGTATTTATCTTACATCCTGCCTTTATGTTATCCTTTCTTGATTCTCCACTCAGTAAATTTCCACTGCAACAAATTCAATTTTAAATTTCTCTTTCAATATTAAATTTTTGAAGACCTTTCCTTTACTTCTATCATTATCTAAAGTAGCACTTTCCACTAACCTTCTGAACAATACATACTGTACGTCATGAGTTTTTATTTTAAAAAGCAAATTTGCAGTCTAATGGAACAGACTCTCAATTGCCCTTCTAGAATACAGCAGAATATTCATGTAAACTCAAGACAATCCTGAGGCCAAGACCTGTGGACAAATGAATAGAAGACTGAAACACAGCTAAAAAGGGTTTGGCATTATTTAAATACACTTTCATAGAAATGTGTGTGGGAAAGTAAGAACCCATACTTTGCCCACAGCTTGCTGCTTCCACTTCACCGCAATGCTAAGGTTGCACATCACCTTCTCTCACCAACCCCAATACAGAAAGTCCTCGACTTACAACAGTTCATTTAGTGACTGTTCAAAGTTATAGTGGCACTGTAAAAAGTAATGTATGACCATTTTTCACACTTACGACCATTTCAGCATCCCCATATCACGTGATGAAAATTCAGATGCTTGGCAACTGACTCATATTTATGACAGTTGCAGTGATCTGGGATCATGTAATCACCTTTTGCAACCTTCTGATATGCCACGTCAATGTGGAAGCCTGATTCACTTAACAACTGTTACTAATTTAACAACTACAGTGATTCACTTAACAACTGTGGCAGAAATGTTGTAAAATGGGACAAAATTCACTTAACAAATGTCTCTTAGTATCAGAAATTTTGGGCTTAATTGACGTCATAAGTTGAGGACTGCCTGTACTAACATGCCTAAACCGAATTACACTAACGTGAGACTCCGGAGAGAGAAGGCATGATTCGATATTAGAAGCCTGGTGATGTACTGCTAACTCATTCAATTAATAACAGCTTCAAATTACCGAATACAAATATATACATGTATATATCAGAAGAATTTATATTTATAAATCTCCTAACAATTATACGCATCCGGATGCCAACTAGCCTCTCCGTTCCGAGGCTTTCTTACTTTCGTCCGTCCTGTTTACCTTACTCGTAACCGCAGCCATAATTCTGCAGCCTCGGCTTTCGGTCGTTTTCTTATTGCGTAAATGCTTCTCAACGTCATCTCACTATATTTTCTGCGGAATATATAAAGCACTGCCCATTTCTCCTTGACCATAGAGATAAAAAAAGCAAACCCTTTTAAGGGGTTCTCATGCAGGAAACGCTATGTAGAAAGCGAAATTTCAATACAAAATTCCTATTGTAGCAAAAGAATTGTGGTTCCGACCTCAAGTCATAGCTCGACTTGAGGGTAGTAATCACTTATTATAGTTACTTGGGAACAAATTCCGCAGAACATATGGAAGCCTTCGGAATGTAGTAAATGCTAAAGATTGGCTAATACTAAATGTTCACGTAGTAAAAGAAGAAAAATGCTTTATTTTGCTGGGCAATACTTTTGCTGAGTTATTACGGTAAAACAGTTACGTGTGAACTAGCGCGTGTCCACTTTAACCATAAGCATTACTGCCTCCTCTGCAGTAGCAACTGGAAAGCAGGAGCCGTGAGCTTAAGAGCAGCGTGCACTTAGATTCACAGCAAAACACTCGCACAAATATTTACAAAAAGTACCTGTCTTTTTTTTTCTCTCTTCCCCACCGGAAATAAGGCACAATTTGAAAAGAACACGAGCTCTTCCCTAACCTCCCGCACCGGAAGGGGGAAAGAAACAGGATCATTTTTTACAGACCACAGTGGGCTGTACGTAAGCTGGGATCGTGTTCAGGTCAACCTCTGATAACTTCAGGAGACGAAGAATGTGCAGAGATATTTGATTTATTTGTTTAGGAAGTGGTTTGCCATTGTCTTCCTCCTGTCGTTCCTTCGCGCATGATGGAACTAATCCGTCTTGGCGAATGGAACTGAACTGAACCGAGTAGGGTAAGTGGAATCGTACGGGAAGCGAGATCGAGCCACGGCGCCAGAGAAGGGACGATTTTCTCCCCGGAAAAGAGAAGCAGCTTACTATGCCAGGCGGGGTATTATGGCACTATAAGGCTAAAAACGTGTCTTATTCCTAAGGAACGAGGTCCCGAGAACCTCTTCACATTTACTAGGCACCTCAGGAAAGCAGATTCCACAGGCGTCCTTTTTCGAAAAGATAGTTGGCGTGAGAACAATCAGTGGAACGGCTTAACTCCAGAAGTTGTGGGTGCTCCAACAATGGAGTCTTTAAAGAAGAGATTGGACAGCCATTTGTCGAAATGTTTAGGGTCTATTGCTCGAGCAGGAGGTTGTACTTGAAAACTTTCAAGGTCCCTTCCAATCCTGTTATTCTGTGTTATTTGTCCTTAGTGATTTTGGAGGCAGGATTTCTGAATATCTTTCAAAACAATATTTTTTATCAGTCGCAGCAAATCAGCAAAAAAAAATAATAATTGAGACATGATCTCAATCCTGAAACAGTTAATTCTATAATATGGAGTTTGCACAACAAAGAAGGGACTTAAATTACTTAATTTAACCTTAGACAAACATAGAATTGCTTCTGCATAAATCCAACATTCACTAGGTTGATTCAACTAAGTATGTATACGAACTAGGCGATAGTAAATAGGTTTCACTGATAATGTCAATCCTGCCTCAGCTCGAGCCTTTAAGTAAGAACTATCCTTGACCCCATTTAGCAAAACCAGAACTGAAATTTGTGTGCCAAAATCCCTAAGTTTAACTCTCCCACCCCAGCCACCTCCAAAGGCTGGTCTCCCGTTGTCCAATCATATTCAAATGAAGTGTTTTGGGAATGGTCTCTTCAACTATGGGCTGGCCAGTATGCAGCTGCATGCCATTTCCAAAGGACCTTGAAGTTGTATCTCCAGAAGGCACAGTGAATAGAGAACTCCCCCCCCCTCCCACCTCCCTGTCCCCAAAGTACATAGCAGACTGGTATCAAGCAAATGTTCTGACAGATGTATTGGTATTTACTTCTGAGAAAATAAAGTATAATAATTAAAAATGTGCATTTACTCTATATAATGTAAAACCTTAAACTAATTGAAGACAACTAAAGATATTTTGGTACTATTAATCATACCTCAATATTTTTCCTTAACTAGTACTTTATAATCTGCCATTTGAAGGACTTCTAATGATAAAGCCTCTCCTACCAAAAAGCAGTGGCAATTCAGAGTAAATAATTATAACATGTTATCTTTTACACTAGGAAATAGGAAGTAGAAGTGTTTCCTAAAGAAAAAAAATTGGGATTTCAAGTTGGAGTATGGGGTCATTCCATCTGTTGATTAGGAAAAGTGGAAGTTCGACAGTATTTACAGCACTGTTGAGTGAGAAAAATATTTTTCATAGATCCCTCACTATTTCTTTGCCTTTTTATAAGAAGAAAAGAACAGAGTATGAAAACATTGACTCCCCAAAATATGGAAATTTGATCCATTACCTCACTTCAGGCAAGGATAGATCTGACAGATCCAAACTGTTGGAAGAAGACAATGCAGGGTATCAATACAAATTTCCAGTTCATAAAACAAAAACAAAACTTCTTAAGAACTGGATTCCCTTAATGAATCCCAGGAAGAGCTCTTGGCATCAGAAAATTCACCAGAGGCTGCCTTTGCAAATTGATATGCAAAAGAACAACTGGGCCAGTGTGACATCTGTTCTGCACCAGACAATGCCTGTAGAACAGGCTTTTTACCTGGAGAAGTGGAAACAGCGAATGATTCTAAACCTTGGGAAAGAAGGTTTTGAAGAATATGTTAAAAGTAAGTAAACAAATACATTAGGAGTTTATAATAATTCTAAACACATTTATGCATTATTTTTACTTATTAGTTAGATTTATACCCTACCTCACCCCCATTTGAAGTGTATGTGCTCGCTCCTCCCATTTTTCTCCACAATTAAATAGAATTTATGCATGGCTGGGAATAAAATGAAAAATTGATAATATAAGCTCATAATTCAGATCTTTGCCTCTGTAACAACATTTTGTCATTTTCATTGTATTTGATTATAAAAGCAATCTAGATGCAGGCTTCTAGACAAAGCGTGTATAATTTCCACTTTTTATTTTAGTTTTTTTTAGTTTTGTATTCTATATTTTTATTTATTTATATGTATAGTAAATACCTAAGGTTTAATTGGATTGAGATGATGTTAAATTTGATAAATATAACACCTCACTCCAATAATGTCTCAATATGAATTTTATTCCTTTAATATATATCAAGATTTTATGTAGAAAATATTATAAGAATATATTATTTGGTTGTGTTCTTGCCTACCAGTAATCAGTAATCCTTCTGATTTTTTCCAGTAGCTTAAAGTAGCTTAAATTATCTCCAGCTTTGTTAATATTTCTTAATAATCTTTGTTAAAAGTGCTGTAGAAGGTATTGCTTTAGGAATGGGGAGTCTTGGCTACTGTGTGATTTTGGATCAGTGTCTCTCTCAGCCCAACCTATTTCATTGAGAATGCTGTAAAATATGAAGATGTATCCACTACACATCCTGCTTTGAGTTTCTATGTAAAAGGCAGGATATAAATCCAACAGTGTATAGAATGTCTGCCTTGGTTGTTCGATTTTCTGTTTTTCACCTACTAAGGAATGGTTGCATCTCAGAAAAAAGCTAAATAATTTTGATTATTTTTTTTCCTCAGTGTTTATCCCACTTATTTTCAGAGTTTACAGGTAGTCCTCGACTCACAATAGTTCATTTCGGGACTGTTCAAAGTTACAACCGCACTGAAAAAAGTAACTTAATGACCATTTTTTACATTTATGACTATTGCAGCATCTCCATGATCATGTCAAAATTCAGATGCTTGGCAACTGGCTCATATTTATGACCATTACTGTGTCCCAAGAACATGTGATCAGCTTTTGTGACCTTCTGACAAGCAAAGTCAATGGAGAAGCCAGATTCACAACAACCATGTTGCTAACTTCACAACTGCAATGATTCACTTAACAACTGCTGCAAGAAAGGTCATAAAATGGGACAAAACTCACTTAAATGTCTCATTTAGCAACATAAATTTTGGGTTCAATTGTGGTCATAAGTTGAGGACTACCTGAACTTGTTTTGCATTGCTTTCACCTGATGCGTGATATGATAAGGGGAAGTCGTTTTTCAACCAACTTCCCTAAAGATGGGTTCCAGTACGAGTCCGAAAACTTGGAAAATAAAATCTCTGATCTTGGTGACTGATCCAGATCGGAAAGAAAGACTGTCTGGTATAATCATGAATTATCTTGACTCTCTTTTCTTTGTGTTTTATAAATGATTGGTACTTTGCAGCATGGAAAGCACAACATGCATAGTCCGGCACAAAGTCTGCTGTAAATAAATAACGAAGAAAGATTGTATGACATTGCTCAGTTTTCATATTATCCTAAGTTAAAGTTTTATCTGATTATTTTGAAAATATAATATCAATGTCACTTTTTTGCCTGCTTATTGTTACTAAGTTCCTAACCCTCTTTGTAGTGATTTTCTTTCTTAGAATATTTAACTTCCCATAACATGCATTATTTATCATCCTTATCTATTTGGTCATGATTCTTCTGATGCTTAATTTCACCACAGTTGAAAGCATCCTTTCTTCTCTCCTGAATTCATGTAACCACATTATTTTTCATGTTTATTTCTCATTGTATTTCATTACATTTCATCCTCTTTTTTTTTGTAGAATCAAGATCACGTGAGATGTTAATATCGCTTTATAATGCCTTATTAAGACCACACTTGGTATATTGCATCCAGTTTTGGTTGCCATGATATCAAAAAGATGTAGAGATTCTAGAGTGCAGATTAGAACAACAAACATTATTAGGGGACTGGAAGCTAATATATATCAACATTTGCAGGAACTGGGTATATATAGTCTAATCAAAATAAGGACTGGGGAGGATATGATAGCAGTCTTCCAATATTTAAGGGGCTGCCATGAAGGGGGGTCAACCTATTCTTCAAAGCAGCTGAAGGCAGTACAAGAAGCAGTGGATGGAAATTAAGCAAGGAGAGATCTAACTTAGAAAAAAAAATTCTGACAGTGAGAACAATGAATCAGTGGAACAGCTTGTCTTCAGGAGTTTTGGGTTACTGGAGGTTTTTAAGAGATTGTATAGCCATTTCTCTGAAATTAGATAGGGTCTCTTGCTTGAGCAGGGATTGGAGTAGAAGACATCCAAGGTCCTTTCCTACTGTGTTATTCTGTTATTAATTAGTTTTCTCATTTTTAAATACATACATTTATAGGTTTTTTTATTATTTTTGCTCCCGTCCCTAGTCCTCATATTTATATACTTCACATTCTTTCTCCCTCTCCTTGTTTGTTTGTATGTATTTTGTGAATTTGTGGATAGTAAAGAGCCTCTGCAACGGTAGAGAGGTATTTGTGAATGTTTTCAGCTATCTACCCTGGGTTGTTATTTATATGGGTAGTCACAGGACTTCTCTATAGAAACAATCTCTTCTTCCAAATAAACAGTCAAATTAAATCTTTATTAACCTCAAAGATCAGCATAAGGAGGGTGGAGTACATTCAGTTAAAAAGCATTAAAATACATCAGAGTCTAAAAATAATTTCAAAAAGCTAAAAATATAAAACAGTATATATTAAAAAAAGTTTAAAAGGAATCATTAGATGAGTGTAGTGGATCATAAATGTACATGGCAGACTAAATCTATCACAGTATAGAGCACTTTAGTGTGACAAACTGGATGTTAGTTTATAGCACAAGTTATCGTCTGGCAGATTTCAAGCACTGCTGTGCAGAACCTGACTGTCAATGGTCCGACTAGCAAACCCAACAAAAGGATTCCTCAAGGCAATTAAGTCCAAGCAGGCAAAACTTCATTGGGTACAGCATCTCAGAACTAAAGAAGCAAAAGATTCTGAGGTTTCCCGCATGAATGCTTGTTTAGTTAAACATTGGATTCTCATTCCCACCCACCGGGTGTTCACATTGTCCAGTAGCAATATCTCTTTTTGTTATGAGAACAGTTCACTTCTCCATCGAGCTCCTGCGGCAATGACCTTGGCATGGTGCAGCCTCTCTCAGTCCGTGAACAGCTTCTTGGCATTCCATTCCCTCTCCCCTTTTCTTTGGCAAGATTATGAAGCTAGCAGGCATTGTAGCAAGTCAATCCTGACATGTTGACCCCCTGAAAGAAGGGCAGACCTGGGAAAACATTAAACACAAATTTTCACCATTATTCATTAATAATTATGGTTTGGGGCGTTCTGGATAAGCATCATGGAATTTTCTTATTAATCAGTCTGCACTAACATTGTGAGCAGCCACCCATTCTGCATCTGCTAAGCTAAGGGATATCCCTTCCACTGTACTAAGTACTGCAGCTTCCCTTTAAAAACCCGTGAGTCCATTATTCTCTTAACTTTGTAGTGTTCCTTCCCTCCTACCATAACTGGAGGAGGAGGAGGAGGAGGAGGCTCCTGTTCAGTTGGCCTTAGGCTAGAGCCTTGAAGCGTTTTTAACAAACTACAATGGAACATTGGATGGACTCGTCTTAAACTTTTTGGCAATCGTAGTTCGACTGTAACTGGGTTTATAATCCGAACAATTGGGAAGGGCCCTAAATATTTAGGGCTTAGTTTCTTATGTGGCTACCTCAGTTTAAGATATTTTGTGGATACATAAACCTTATCCCTAATGCTAAACTTCTTTTGGGGATTTCTCTTCCGATCAGCCTGTCTCTTATATGATTTCCTGGCCTTCAGTGCTTTCTGTACATCCCCCGACATGGCTTTTAGGGACTTCATCCACTCAGCTAGTGAAACTGAGGAGGGAGGTTCTCTTGGAAGTTCTGGCATTGGTATGAAATCATTCCTGTAACTATTTTAAATGGGGTGAACCCAGTGTTATGTACCAAATTCTGCAAAAGGCATGTGCTCCACCCAATGAGTTTGCTGATAATTTACATAGCAGCATAAATACTGCTCTATCAATAAGTTCACCTTTTCAGCTATCCCGTTAGTACTCGGATGAAAACTTGAGCTAAGCCCCTGGGAAGAACCTATTAACTTTAGGAACTACTGCCAAAACTTTGCGTTGAACTGCACCCCTAAATATATATTTACTGCCCTAAATATACAGCCCAGAAAAAACTTGTTATTGTGACCTTCAAAGCTTTAACTAAATAAAGAACAGCTGCAATAAAAGAAAAGAAAACATTGTGGACTATCTACAAAGCAACAACTATAAAACCTAGAAAAAAAATTGACCTTCCTGGATTATAAATACTTTTAAACTGTGACTTTAAAGCGGTTGGCAGAGAAAGGAAAACTTTGATTTTTGGTCATTATGGAGCATCAGAGGTCTGCAGAAAGAACATATCAAGAAAAAATAAATATTTCCCAGGAGGAAATGTATGTTATGTTACAACAAATACAAGTGACATTAATTTCAAACCATGGGGAAATTAAAAATAAATTTGAAAACTTAACTCAATTTATCATCACAACAAACAAATGATCAGAAAACAAAAAAAGAGGGAAATCAAGTAAAGCAGATAACTGAACATAAACTAGTGGAAAGAAACTTAGAGATGGAATTTAATAATGGAAGGAACTGTGATGTAATCCAGATGGAGAAAAGCTTCCAGGAAATACTGGACATGGAAAAGATAACCTATACATCAAGATTCCAAGAACTTGAGAGAAAAAAGATGATGGGAGAAACTAAGAGAGAGAAAAAGAAAAAGAGCTCTGAAGAATATTCCCACAAAAACACCCT